GTAGCCGTTTATCTACAGGAGTCCTGTAGCTCAGTGGTTAGAGCACTCGCTTTGCAAGTGAGAGACCTGAGTTCAATCCCAGGCAGAGGGTGAAACCTTGGGCAAGTTTCCTTACTCCACACAGAGCCTAATAATAATCCCTCCAAAACCAAAAACAATAATTAAATTGGTCATTTTCAATCTATGACTGTTTGTGGGACATTGCTGTGCGCAATTGGCTGCCGCGTTCGCCCACAAATATACAGTCAACTCACTTTACAGTATATTCTGTGAAGCGCTTTGGGACGTCCTCCCGACGTGAAAAGCGCTATATCAAATGCAAGGATTATTATTATTATTATTATTATCTAGTCGGTGCTATTGAAACACGTAATGTCTCTTGAGTGAAGTCTACCACAGATCAGTGCCTTGCTTTACGTTAATTCCATTTGTGACAAATTTCTCTACAGTGTGCGAATGTGACTTCTTAAATTTGTAACTCAGAATCTGGTCCAGAGATCATAAGAATAATACCAATAATAATCTTTGCATTTGATATTGCACCTTATCACATCGTTGAGACGTCTCAAAGCACTTCACAGAATATATTGTAAAGTGAATATATTTGTGGGTGAAACCGACAGCCAATTGCACACAGCAGTGTCCCGCAAACAGTCGTGGATTGAGTGACCACATTTTTTTTAAAAAGGATTATTACCACTGGAAAGGATCCGCTGGTCAACTAACAACTGGGTTCCTACTTAATGCTAAACTGAGGCGTGTGAAGTAAGGAAACTTGTCTAAGGTTTCGGGGACATGAAGCAGGTCAGTGCCCGCTGAGCGAAGGGGGCAGCCAGGTTCAACAGGTTGAAGGAGGTCACAGAGATAGAGCGCAGGCCAAAACTATGCAGAGATTTGAACGTGTATCATTTCAACAAGTCCTTTCAGTTCTAGAACCACTTTTGTTTTTAAACCAAAAAATCTGATCCCTCAACCATCATGTTTTATGCGTGTTCTGTCTTGTGCTGTTCATATTACACGCACGCTATTGCGTTAATGCTAGTGGGCCAGATAGTCTCAATCCTTAACCGCCACTGGCACAAAAAAGGCAGAGAGGAACGATTGAATTTCTCTGGCTTTGAGAGACGTTAGCTGGCTTCCTGGCTTTATTGACAGATATCCAACCCCCACGTTACTGAATGAAAACAGTGAGATAATACGTGTGATTTTGTTTTGCAAATCTCACCACCAGACACCAGGCTTCCCAAACATACTTTATCGTATATCCTGTGAAATGCTTTGAGAGTTCTGAATGACGTGATAAGGTGCTATATCAAATGCAAGGATTATTATTATTATTATTATTATTATTATTATTATTAAAGCCAACTTTTTGTGGCAATGGGTGAGGAATGAGAATATCTGGCAAACTAGCATTAAGATTGTGGAGTATGCGTGCCAGGCAGTACTGTAATACGAACAGTAAAAGGCAAACACACAACGTTTTACGACTAGTTCCAAAAGTAAACTCACTGCGTATTCCTTTGCAATTCAACAGAAATCAACACAAATGATTTTAATCCACCTGCTACAGATGGCTGAAAATGGATTGTAGTGAGTGGGTAAGGAAAGGAAGCCCTGAATTGAATGAATGAACGGCGGAGGTTGGCGTTGGTTGATTAAGGAAAGATTTCAGTTTCTGTTTGTGTGTTTCCCTCGGCTTCATGTATTTCCACTTCTTACACGCTGAACGCGTTACAAGGATTTGCCAAGAGAAGAGTAGGTGAAATTGTTTGCTACGCAGGAAAGAACGAGCTGCTCGAACACAGCGCTTTTATTTGTTTTCATTTGAGTAAGAGAAGTAGAGAGTGGACTCTGCTTAACGTTTAACCCACTCACTACGGTCAACTGGAAAAGAAGCTCCTAACGTTTGGCCAGTGTTTCCTCTGCTTGTGAACACCGTATCTCGGGGAGACACGACTCTTATTGTTCCACAAATTCTGTTTTTTACTTTCATCTCCTTTAGTTTATATTAAGAATGATTGAACCCTGCCTGCGGTCCTTTAATGTTCAATGGTCTTGCTTGGAATCCCAATGCATTCCCTACAGCGAGGAGGATCCAGGCTGAGATCAGCTAACCCATCCTCGCTCACCCTGGCTCCACCAGCTCCCGAATGCATTGAGTAATTTCATCTTCACTTCCAAATGCCTTCACAGGGCCTTGCCCCACCCTACCTCCGTGATTACACTGCCCTGGTCACTCCCTGCACTCCCTCTGCTCAAGAAACTCTGGCCTATTTCACATCCGCTGCCCATTCCATCCCATCCCACCATGGGTAAAGGTAGTGACTCAGTATGTTGTAAGCAAACACGATTGCATACGGCAATCTCTCACAAACAGCCTTGACGCGAATGAGCCAATTTGTATCTGGAGAATTATTGGTCAGGATACCTTTTTAAAATATTACCATAGGATTATTAATGTCTACCTGACTCAATCCATGTCTGCTTGAGGGACATTCCTGTGTGCAATTGGTTGCTGCGTTTTGCAACGAAATACACAGTCAATTCACTTTACCATATATTGTGTGAAACGCTTTGAGACGTCTCGAAGATGTCGCTATGTCAAATGCAAGGATTATTATTTATTATTCATCAGAACGTCAGCCTGGACTATAAGCTCACAGTCCCAATGTGGATCTTGAACCCAGAAGCTTCTGAATCAGAGATGAACATACCACCAACTGAGACAGATTAACACCCGTGAAATTAGTTCTCATCCAATTCAATGCCTTGGGAGTAATGACATGCCTTGAATAACCTCCTCCCATTTAGTAATTCTTTTGTTCTTTCAACATGCATTTGAAATTTCTTCTGTTTTAAGGCATTCCAGTATTTTACCAAATGCAGCTGTCAGGCTAATACTCTGCAATTCCCAGAAACACATTTATATCATTCTTCAAAACTTGGCTGAACAAATTTCTATTGTGAAAATATTTTCTTCATTTCCTCAAGTCTCCGGTAATTTTACATCGAGCAGGAATCCATCCCCCCAACTCCTGTTTCCAATGTGTTCCTTAATTACTGGGTAAATCTTCCACAACATGACTAATTTCGTCAACCACTTCCTTAGATTCCAAGAGTGTGGACCTTGACTATCCAATGTCTTGGGACATCAAAATATACAGTTTTGCCCACAATTCACTTTACAGTATATTCTGTGAAGCGCTTTGAGACGTCTCGAAGGCATGATGAGGTGCAAAATCAAACGCAAGGATTATTATTATTATTATCATCCTGACGTGAAAGGCACCGTATAAATGCAATCATTCTTAAACATCCCAAAGCACTTTCCGTGGCGGGTGGGGGTAGAATGTAAAAAATCCAAAACAGATCTGAAACGAAAATGTTATTCCCAGATGTTTGTCTTACAGACCAGTTCCCAAGGATGGTCAAATAAGTTAAAAAGAAGATGAAAATGTGCAAGGAACGTTAGTCACTGTGGTTTGATAGCAATGTGTGGACCAGTGTTCCTGACTTTTGTGATTTGTCCTCGTGTGCCTTGGATCTCTGGTTCCTGGGATTGCATCTGAGGAAAACATCTGCAGAGATCAAGGAATGGGATAATAAAGAAAGAGCTACCAAACTCTACCAACAGTATCGCTGTACATCAATAAACTCAAGGTTTGTAGTTGTTTCTTGTCTAGTACCTTCCCTGTAAAAGTCAATCTCTTCCCATGGCTCCTAATAATTGTACATGAACAGTATTTTTCACTCATGAGTAAAAGTTTTACAACTCATTCATGAATTTCCATGAGTCCAATCCAGAATCCATTCACTCTATAAGTTAAGAGTCTTGGTAGACCAATGATTATGTATTGCTCATAGTAATGGCCCAACGGTGCACATATGTAATCATAGGCACTTTGACTTTGTGGACTATTGTCTGATTACTGTGTGCAAAAGGTCACACGGCTGTATTACAGCATGTTCCCTCCTGAAAAACCGTATCAGGATAGTGCCTGCTGGCCTGGACTCACTGATGTCCTGGGCATTAGTGGGTTGCACTTTCAGCCACTATGCCCTGAAACCCTGGAACACTCTTCCTCGAGCCCTCTGCCTTGTCTCTCCCTTCCCCATCTTCAGGCAGCACCTGAAGACCTTCCTATTCGACTATGGCCACACACCCCCCCGAACCCCCCCACCCCCCACCACCCGCCCGGCTTGACTCAGCATTGTGCTCCATCACTGTCAAGCGCTCTGGGACGCTGCCCTGTATGAGGGGCGCGATATAAATACAAGTTGTTATTGTTGCTGCGGCTGCTGCTGTGAATAAATCTCCGTTAAACAAAAGCTCTGCCGGTTTGCTGAAGTTTATTAATCTGTTTTAGCTACTGATACATAGGTGAGATTGAAAAGAGGCCGCGTTTACATTGTTTGCACGGGTTCAATGGTTAGATTCAAAGTAAATCTCAGAAATTCCAGTTAGTGTTTCTGAACATTTACAAATAGGTGTCACTTCCTCAACAAAAACACGCACAAACTATCCTGTAACTCTAGGTTTCCTCTTTGTCCCCCATCAAGATTCATATTGGTGCTATTTCACTGTACTCTGAAAGATAATTTACTGAATAATATAAGTCAGGGTGTTTCCAGTTACCATCCTTATCCAAACCGCTCCCAAGCTCACTCCCTGCCTGGCAACTGGAAATTATTATTTATTAACCATATTCACCTTAACATAACCTTTTATCATCATAAAATACCACTTTCAAATCACGCCATAGCCTTCTCAGCTCAATTGAAAAAGAAGTTCCAACGTTAACGTTCTAAAAGTTCTAACTGAATTCTGAGTTCTAATTTGCTTTTCAAAACTTTCTCGTTCAACAACAAAAATGACCTTTGTAAATCGCCTTTGACGTCGGGAGGACGTCCCGAGGCGCGATTCAAGGTACTCAAACTGTACCAAATATTCTAATTACGGTATTGCAAGTGTTCTCTTGCCCAGAGAGGGGGAAAAGTCAAGGAGCCCGTAACGTGCTTTCCAGCAAAGATCTCCAGGTAGTGATCAGGATCTTGGCTATTTTTACTCGATCCAGCACAGGGACACTGAAGTCAATGGTAGCAACCTTAGGGGAGCAATTGTCTTTTATAGACATTTCTGAACGTTTGCTACGCAGCCTCATGAAAAACAATTCCTTTAACTCTACAAACATAAAATTTAAAAAAATGAGCTCCATGTGTCACAGGCCTTTTCTTCCTCCCTTAAGTTCCACGAACAACAAATGTAATTATGGTAAGGCACCTCCCCACCTTCTGGTCTTGTTCCCTCTCTGCCTGTCTTCTTCAAACTGTGCTTTCGATCATCTCCACACCCTCCCAACCCACCTTCATGCTTGGAGCCATCAAGCTCCCGTGATGCTACCCACCTGAAGGGTGCTATATAAATGCAGATTGTTGATGTAATTTTTAAAAAAATCTATTTATTGAATAATAAATGAATGGGAACTTCTGGAGCTGGAACTGGAACACTATGCCGCCCTTAATAAGCTACACTTTGGCATGATATACTTCCAGAGCGGAGTTCCCATGAGTTGACAGGAATGCTAAGGAATCCCACCGAGAAACATCACAAATTAAATCAAACACACAACTGACTGCCCTCAAACTCCATGTCAAAACAGTGCTTGTCAACAAAAAATAAGCCAAACACAAATGCTGGGGTATGTTACCAAATGAATGGAAAGTTCAGATTCCCCGAAAAGCTGAGCTGAATACCGCTGCAGTTTGGCTATATCTGGAGTTCTGCTTAAACTTCTGGTCACTGCAACATAAAGAGGCTGACCAGATCTCAGAGGTAGTGAGAAGGTGAGCAACAAGGTGGATCGAGGTAAATAAGACACTAAATTTTGAAGCGTTCCGGGATGCGTAAGTTGTTGCTGTTGTAAATGGCTTTGGGAAATTAAACCCAGAACAAATCCTTCAGATGGACCATTATTGGAACTCCATCACCATAAGGCCCACAATGGTATAAAAAGGAGGTTCGACCTACCAACTCTCAAGGCAACTAGGAATGGGCAATAAATGTCATTAGTGAATGACATACCTGTGCAATAAACAGAACAATAAAACCCACAATGGAACTATAACTAACAGTATTAGGAGAGAAACTGTTGAAGATTTAGGAAGTTACACTTCATTGTATAATCAACTGTGTCATAAGAAGTACCAGGTTATTAAGAGGAGAAAGAAAACGGTGCTGACTCCATGGTGCAAGGATGTTGCTTTTCCGTCGAAGGGAGAAACAGCTTTACCCCTCTCGCAGTGCTTCCCTTTAAAGCCCAAGTAACATTGGCACTTAAAGTCAGATTTCAGTATCTTCCTGTCCCGACTAATCATTTTACGTTTCAGATTTGGATAAAGAGTATTATCGGCTCTGTTGACAACACTGCGATACGTGTCTTCCTTCAAATGTAGGTAGACATCGGCTTCAGGATTCTTGCGTATACACCGTCCGTTTGCATGGCATAGGGTCTTGCTGCAGAACTGTGTGGCAAGCGACACATTCACAAGGTAAGGGCCCAGCTTTTTGTCCAATAAATCCTTAACATGCTGGCAATTTTCCTGGATGCAGAAAAAATAAAACGTGTCGTTTAGGGTCACATTTAAGCAGCGTGCAAAATCTTTTTGATGCCATTCCGAGTGTGGTGTTAAAACTGATGACAAAGGCCCCGATAGTTTTATTGAATTAAGTTCACCCCCACTCCCACTGTTAGCATGAGCACTGACACCGGAAGGTCCCGAGGTTTTCCCGATCCATCCTGAGTTAACAGGAGCACCAGCTAAGGACGCTACAACTGGCTTCGGCATCTCTGAACAGGGAAAGGAAAACCTCAGCCAACATTCCTGCTCTCGTTCGCTATTCAGTGACCCTGGCTTTAAAGGTACCAGAGGACAGCCCACCTGGTGCAACTACATATTGGGGGAAAAAAATAAGACTTTGTAAATCCTTCATTTTCCAAATAATCGTTGGCTAGTTCCCTGGTGATATTTTTAAATTGACATTGCCTTAACCTGCTCAGTCTAATTTGATTTAATCAACATTGTTATAAACAACTACAACAACAACAACAAGATTCCATTTATAGAGCGCCTTTCACGTCAGGAGGACGTCCCAAGGCGCTGTACAGGACCCGAGCAGGGGGGAAATGGTCAGGGTGAGGGGAGGGAAGGGAGGGGGCGAGGAGGGGGTAGAGAGTCGAGAGGGGAGCTGAAGGCACGGTCAAAGAGAACATGATTTTAATTCCAAAATTTCTTCCCGGTTTGAACCTCCTTCAGGTTCCTGTCACCAACCTAGACTGTGAATTTGAGGTCCTAATGTAGGCTTGGATGCACAAACTTCGGACTCAAAGGAGAGAGTGCTACCAACTGAGCCGGGCCGACACCCAAAGGCAGCAGTGGCTGGGGTTAAAGGGGGCTCAGCCCCCCCACCCCCAATCATCTTTTCTCCAGTTTGGGCTAATGGGGTGCGGGGGCCGGCAAGGCATGCTGCCGTGGGTAAAGGGACATGAGGTAAAGCGAGTGTAACAGTCAATGAGTTGAGTGAGTTGGATTCAGTGCCAAGGACATACATACTTACACACACACACACACACAGAAACACACGCACTCCGCAGCCTTTAGCAAAGCCCAGTCAGGATGTACGAGGAGAACATTTTCATGCAGAAAGAATATTTTCACCCAGCACCCATGCTGACACCTAACTACAGTATTCCCATAATAAACTGCGCCTCTGTACTGTGTCAACACTTAAGACCAAATTGCTCATCAGAGTGATTCGTGTTGAGAAGATGTTTCGAACCGACGAGCAATTCACAAGCTTCCTTACTGTGCTGCGCGAGTATTCTGAACTCCCCCACAGGACGATGCCATCTCCTCCGAGTGATGCAGCTTCCCCAATGCTGTGGATAAAGTCGGTCTGAAATAAAAATGGCCATTGGCAGGTAAGTGCATTGCTCACTTATTGGTTTACATTCCCATCCGGAGCAGAGGTGAAACGGTGCATCAGACCACGATGTTGCAAGATACATGGACAACATCGGTAAATATGTTAGGCTGTAGTATCTCAAATGCTGGGCAAATGCTAGTTACAAGTAGCAGCAGAGTGCAGCTGAGGGAGAGGGTGATACAATAAGGTGCAGGGGATAGAGGCCTCCGTAATATCCGTGGTCGATCAAGCTGAGATCAACTACTGAGCAAAGACATTGTCTGAGACATTCCATGTCCATATAGCTCAGTGGCAGGAATACCCACAGATGCTTTTACAGCAGAAATCTGTTGGATGGAGTAACGTTTCATAGCACACAAAGCATGAAAGAGTGACATTAATAATAATAATAATAATAATAAAAATAATAATCATTGCATTTGATATAACACCTTTCACATCAGGGGACATCTCAAAACACTTCACAGGATTTACTGTAAATTGTAATGATCATTTTTCGTCGCAAATATGGCAGCCCACTTTGATACCACAAACAGCCATGAAGTGAATGGCCAATTTTATTTTCGGGGATTGATGCCCAGGACATCAGGAGAAATTCTCTTCTCTTTTCGAGTAGTGCCATGGGATCATGGAAAGTCCACCTGAACAAGCAGAAGAAACTTCAGTTTAACATCTCATCCAAAGGTCAGGACCCGCCAGCAATGCAATGATCCCCGAACACAGTTTTGGAATGAATGTGAGTTCAAAGTCCCGATGTGGGACTTGAATCCACAACCTTATGACTTAGAGGCGAGGCTGACACATTTAACATTTACTGGGATCAGGAACAATGTCACTTTTGTAAACTGTGACTGTTTCAGGTTTAATTGCTATTTTACTTATGGATTTAACGGTCTTACTGAAGGTTGTGTGAAAAGATTTCCTTGCTCCTGGCTGTGTAATATACATGGCCAAGCTTCACGTGTAAGTCCAGCCACATATTTAAATGTGGGAAGAGGATAATAGATGAAGACTGAGCTCAGCTAGTAGCAAGCAACAGCATTTTACTTCTGTGCTCTTGTGTGGGTTGCCCAATGTTTGACCAGCAGAAAAAAAAGGTTCACAGGTGTTGCATTGGCATCTAGTTTGCTTGGAACCCAAAGATAGTCCTTCAAAAAGGAATTGTTTATTGCTCAAGCCAACTGTTAGCTTATTCAATGCACAGAAGACTGGAACATGAAAGGACCATTTTATTTCTTCCACAATTCATACAATATAATCATGAAGTCCAGCCAAACCATTTACTCTCTTCAGGAAAGATGGGGAGCCAGTGGAGCTTGGGCCAGAACTGGTGAGACGTGGGTACGGAGTTTGGTCCGGGTAAGTATGCGAGCTGCAGGGTTCTGAAAAAGTAGAACTGGGGAGACCAGCGAGAAGGGCATTTGAGCAATCCAGGTGGGAGGCGACAAACCCATGCCTGAGGGTTTCGGCTGGATTTGGGTCGGTCGGAAAGTGGGGGAGGTAAAAGAAGGCGGACTTGGTCAGCGACCAGATCTGGGGGGAGGAAGGACAGCTGAGTTTGCAATGGGAACAATACTTTATGAGCTCAAACCATCAACTTCTGAACAATTACTATCCCTTGGATCACTGATATTGTTTTGTTGCATCCACTTACCTCTGTCATAGGTTTGAAGCTAAATGAATAGTGTGAGCGTGCGTAGAAAAAGATTGGCACAGCATATTTTTTGCCAGACATCCCTGCAGCCCTGACGGCTTCCTTTACTTTCCCCGGATAAACTTCTTTCCTTGAATTGTGGATCCTAATTTTTCTTCCATATAAATTGAAGGGAACAAAGCCTTGGCTGTGCCCCACATCCACACTAGATTATTGTTGCGACTATATTCAATATCAGGGCAATTGCCTGTGTAGGTATCAAAATTCTTTTTGTAGTCATAATTGTAGCAGTCAGGGAAGAGGTAGTATCCCCATAAAGCTTTGGGGTAAACCCCGATGCTCGTCTTCAAAGACTCTGTCATGAAATTCCTTGCTGCCGTGTCAAACTCTAATTTTGCTTGTTTGGTGATTTCCTTTTCTGACCAGTCGGGGTGTCTGGCCCTAACAATATCCTGTGATGTCCGACGGTAAATGTCTTTTTTGCTCCAGTTGCGAACCCACTGTGGCCTCCATTCCTCCCAGTCAATAATCGCCAATCCCTGGAACCCTTCGTGAGGTATATATTTCTTAATATCCTTAACCAGCTGGTTAAGGTGGGCAGGTAAACTAACGTTTTGAGGAACGGCTCCATTTGAAGGAACATTTGTATGTTCGTCAAATTTGGGATATAAACCTGCCTGATTGGAGTACAATATAGTGATCTTTTTTCCCCTAAATTGTTCCTTATGATTACTGATAATGTGAAATTTCTGGAGTGGGAGATTGACATGCCATCGTCGCGAGCATTGTTCAGTTGGGATATTCCAGTAGATAAGGAATGGTCTGCCAGGTACTTGGGGAGGAAGAGCATACTTAGGCGCTCCATTGGTGATGTCCAGTATTAGGAGAAAGCAGGCTACTTTACTGCAGCTCTTCGCTGGAGGTAGAATGAGCCATCTTGAAGATGAACTCGGCTGTCTATATTTGCTGTCATGTCCACCACTGGTGACATCCATGGGATGGTCAATAAACCTGGAAAAATCAAAGAGGTATGGTTGCAGTGAGAGGACCCTGATGGTAAGCAATGAGTTAACAAGTACAAAAGATACTTGCATGCTAATCTTTCAGTTACGCTAGGCACACAGGACTGTTTAGACCGACCAAGTTTCCAAGCTCCTGAAGGTCACACACCTGCAGAAAGCTCCCGTTCCATTTTAAAACTCTTCGCTAACAGGAGGCTAGAGTTTACAGACAAAAGTGTCTTTGCTGTTGCGTTCTCTGAGATTATCCTGACTGGAGACTGTGAAGAAAACACTCCCCTGGAGATGATTCTGGCAGAACTGATAGCATCCAGCATGATGAGAGCTTTGTTGTGGCTCAATACTCATCTATCTTAGAATTGTAGTGTCTTCTCCTCATGCCTAAGTAACCCTGAACTTGTCACATAAACTATTTGATATAAAAAACATTAAGCAGGCGTCAGCAAGACAACCGAGTGAACTGCTCTCAGCTAAGGGGGCAATAAAGGCTTCCCAATTGCTCTCAGTCGCCAGGGACAGGTATTTCTTTTAAAAACAGAGAGGGATGCCATTGCCAATGGAATTTGCTATATTTGCCCCTCCCCCCCACACTCCCCAATACTAGATTTTCATTTCAAATGGATCATTTGGTGACTTTCTTTTACAAATTCCATTGATTCAGGTTCAGTACGTTCAATAGCAGAAGGTTGCTACCGTTCTTTAAGAGCCGTAAAATTATATTGTACTGTTGTAGATCCACGGGTGGATAATAATAATAATAATCCTTGCATTTGATGTAACGCTTTTCACGTCTTCTCGACATCTCAAAGCGCTTCACAGAATAGACTGTAAAGTGAATTGACTGTATATTTGTGGGCGAACGCGGCAGCCAATTGCGCACAGTAGTGTCCCACAAACAGTCGTGGATTGAAAATGACCAATTTATTATTGTTTTGTTTTGGAGGGATTATTATTAGGCTCTGTGTGGAGTAAGGAAACTTGCCCAAGGTTTCGCCCTCTGCCTGGAATTGAACCCAGGTGTCTCGCTCGCAAAGCGAGTGCTCTAACCACTGAGCTACAGGACTCCACAAACGGTCCACAAATGGATTACACGAACAGTCTGTTGTTGGTATTGCAGCTCTGTACTGTATTTGCGTAAGGTTTCTCACTCAGTCTCTACTCTATACTGTACATATATAAGATTTCTCACTGGGTCTCTAGCTCTGTATTGTACAGCATTTTCCCAAGGCTCCTGCGTGGACGGCAATCTATTTACGTGTTTCTTTGTGTTCACTGGATCCTGAATGATTCAAAATACCTGTAGTCGCTTTTGGCAGGAACCTGCAACGTAATCACACGGGACAGGCTGACTTTACAGCATCCGAGACACTATCCTGCGTGAAGGGTGCTACATCAGTACAAGTTGTTGTCGAATCCGTGAAAGATCCGTGAATCTGTGAGTCTCGGGGTGTGCATTATTTGTACCCGTGTAAGATTTTTTCACTGAGTCGCTGGATATGTATTTTTTTTGTACCTGTGTAAGATTTTCTCACTGAACCTCTGGGTATATATTTTTTATTGTACCTGTGTAAGATTTTCTCACTGAGTCTCTGGGTGTGTATTATTTGTACCTGTGTAAGATTTTCTCACTGAGTCTCTGGGTGTGTATTATTTGTACCTGTGTAAGATTTTCTCACTGAGTCTCTGGGTGTGTGTTATCTGTACCTGTGTAAGATTTTCTCACTGAGTCTCTGGGTATATATTTTTTTATTGTATAGCTGTGTAAGATTTTCTCACTGAGTCTCTGGGTATATATTTTTTTATTGTACCTGTGTAAGATTTTCTCACTGAGTCTCTGGGTATATATTTTTCTATTGTACCTGTGTAAGATTTTCTCACTGAACCTCTGGGTATATATTTTTTATTGTACCTGTGTAAGATTTTCTCACTGAGTCTCTGGGTGTGTGTTATCTGTACCTGTGTAAGATTTTCTCACTGAATCTCTGGGTATATATTTTTTTATTGTATACCTGTGTAAGATTTTCTCACTGAGTCTCTGGGTATATATTTTTTTATTGTACCTGTGTAAGATTTTCTCACTGAGTCTCTGGGTGTGTGTTATCTGTACCTGTGTAAGGTTTTCTCACTGAGTCTCCACACTCTGTGCTGTCCCTGGTGTCAGATCTCTTCACCCAAGTCCCTTGGCTGTGAAAGGCAATATGCAGGTCAGATTTTTCAGTTGATTATCGTTAGTGGTTTAAATCTGACAGAGTTCCTAACTCGCAGGTCCATTCCAGGTCCATTCCAGGTCAGTTATAGCACGTGAACCCCAGACACTACACAGTGCAGAGAGAGAGAGTGGGGGGCAAATGGTAGGTCTCCCACCAATGCACAAAGACCACCCTCCCCAACCACCCCCCACCCCCAAACCTGATCACAGCAGAGAGCAAAAGGGGGTGAGCAATGTGTTTCATCTCACAGCAATGTGCAAAGATCTCCCCCCACCCACCCTCCCACTCCCCACCCTGAGCACAGCACAGAAGAGGGTAGAGAGTGGTAAATCTCACAGCAATGTGCAAGGACCTCCCCCCACCCCCCCACACTCCCACCTGAGCACAGCAAAGCCAAGCCTTGTGCAACTAACTCTTAAGTGATTTATAAAGAGTTTCACTCAAGCCCCCCCACCCCACCCCACCTCACCCCCACCTTCCCCTCCCAGCAGAGAAATGGTCCATGCAGATACAATCCCCTAGTAAAATATTACACTGTGCAAAGAGTTTTCTTGCAAAATGTAAGTGTTAGACACTGTATCAAGAACTTCCTTGCAAACCAAAGATTGAACATGTTTCAGGGTGGTGGTGGGGGGGAGAGGAGGGGGTCACCTCACATCTCACCAAGGTCTAATGTTTTATTTTCTGATGGATGATGATTATGATGATGATGATTATTATTAATATTGGTGGTATTATGTAAAGGCTGGAACACGCTAAAGGGCAGATTCCTCACAGTTTTACCTTTGCACTGTAATAAATATGCCTTGAAGTTTCCACACTGCTTTGCAAAGTGTCTGTGTTTCATTTTCCCAAACCTCCTGCTGGCTTGTACTTGTCCTGGAACTTATGCACCAGTTTCCATTGGGTCTCTGCTCCTTGATTATTCCAAATAGCTGTAGTTTCTGTTGCTGTTGTGTTGTTGTTGTTGTTGTCAACTAGTTGTAATGTAATGGGCAGCACAAACTGACTGTACTAACAGAGTGACTAGACAGCACTCCCCTGTGAATCTCAACAACAGTTTCATTCCCCCTTCAATCAATATGCAACACTGCACTGATTCAAGCAATCATTGATTTTTTTAAATCAGGATTTCTAATGTCCTGCATCTGGATCCAGAAACTGGGATTCCTTTTCTAGGTGTGAAGCTCAGCATCAGCCAAGAACCATTGCCAAGCCAGAGGTAGAATTCATGGCAGTACAAATCTTCTTTAAATAGCAGTTAGAGTGTTAGAGTTAGAGTGATGCCTCGCATCACTGGTGTTGCTGGAAAGTGTAGCCAAGGACTCTTCAGTTGTTTAATCTACATGTGTTTTACATTACACTGAAAAAGCCATGTGTTTTGAAAATTTATACTTGTGTATTACACCATATGATAATTAAACAAACCCTTGCATTCACTAAAGTTCTTTTTGTGCCAGAGCATCTCAACGCGCTTTGCAGGGAATTGCTGTCAAGTGCAGTAACTCTCATGACCATGGCTCCGTCTCAAGATCCTCCACTCCACTCCGACTGTTCCTTCGGATACCCTCCCTCAACTTCTCCTGATCCCATTCCCCCAGCTCGAGACCAAATCTCTGAATGTCCAGCGCCTTGGGACGTCCTCCCGACGTGAAAGGCCCTGCACAAGTGTCATTTCTTGTGGTTGTTTGTTGTTCTTGTAACTGAGTATTTGTCATGTGCAGCAAATACAGAGGAGAATGTGCGCAAACTGTCTGCCAAGTTTGCCTGCAAATGTACAATCAATGCACTATAGTATAGTGACTATACAGTATAACTTTGAAGTGCCTTGAGACATCCTGCTGACAAGAAAGGCGCTATATTGCAGGTAAGGATTATTGTTAGATAAATCACACAGAGCAGCAGGATTATCCTCTGATTTGCATCTCTTTGTGAACACAGGGCAGCTTGTTTAAAGAGTGAAAGGCATTCCCCTGATCAATAAGAAATGGTACAAATTTTATAATTTGACGACATATGTTTATTGTAAACTGATGATAAGTTAAAAGTAGCTTCACAGAGAGTGGCCTTTAATCTAATTTCCTGGAGGTGGCAGAGGTACTGAGTAAGCTAGTGAGTAGGAGCAGAGCACATGTTAATGTCTAGTAATGACAATGATCCAACTCTTGTCCAAGTGAGACTATTTTTTTAAATAGTGGATCCATGTCACTGCAGGCAGAGAGGTAAAAGGATATGATGGAGGCGGAGAGGAAGCACTAAGGGGAGCTTTTTTATCCAGGTGCAGAATGAGGTAGTGGAGGTTTACCAGAGGGGAGAAGGATGTGGGTTGAGTGCGAGATGAGGGAGTGATCAGAAACAGACATGTTAGTGATGGTGAGCTTGGAGATAGTTAGACCAAGGGGTGATGACAAGACGGAGGGTGGGGGAGAGGGGGCGGGGGTAGTAGACCAGGGTTGTGGGTGTGGGAGTGTATATTGAGAATGAGTTTGAGGGAGCAGAGGAAAGCTAGGAGTTCAGAGATGGAGGCAGGAGAAGCTAAGGTGGAGGTTGAGGCTGCCCAGAAGACTCTTGGTGCAAAAGCGGTGAGGAAGGAGCCATGTGGTTGGGGGAGTGGCCCCACTCACAATAACAACAACTTGCACTTATATAGCGCCCTCCACGCAGGGCAGCGTCTCAGAGCGCTTAACAGTGCCGGAGCCTGACCAACATGGAGAATGGTCATTTGGGCAAGAGGAGCACTTAGGTGAGATACCTGAGGGCACACACGGAACCACAACTGTGTACCAGAACATTGCAGAGTAGTAAATAAAACACTTATATTTTGCAAGAGTCTTGGAGTTAAAGAAATTAGCTTCGGCTCCTCCTGTATTTGTGTGGGATATCCAACACACAGAACACATGATCTCCTCCCCACAGTTTCTCATCTGTAATTGAAACCTGAAACACATGCCCAACACTGTCCCACACTGTAATACTGCACAAAACTGACACATAGCACATAAGATCCGCGTTAATAGGAACATGAAGACACATGCTCGGCACAATAGACCCTGTAATAGAAACCTGAAGCAAATACCCCACATGGTCCTTCACAGTCAGTCTTGTCCTCTCCAACAGCCTGGACGGTTGTGGGTGACTGTGGATGGGTGATGATTTGGTGCCCGATCCTTACGGTTTGATCGGTGCTCACATTGACACATTCCCTGTTTTAACGAGAATTTCCGAATCCCTTGGATCGTCCTGGAGAGGAGCCATGTTCCCGTCACTTAGATTCTGTCATCAGCATCTGTTTGGGTCTGCGGGCTGGAAACAACAGGAAGGAAGAATTCCTGAATCTACAATAGCACAAAAAATATTAAAATGTGAATCCAATATGGATGAATGCCATCTGTCTCCAGCTCTTACATGCTCCAGCGGTCTCTCAAGCTAACCAACCCTCCTTTGCATTCCTCTAAAACCTTACCTGCAACTGAAGGTCCAAGTGGCATCCGCAGCTGAGCGTGGCTTCCAGGACAGGTGGAGGCTCTAAGTGTCACACTTCGCTCAGCAAGTCTCTATTAATATTCACGATGATCAAGTGATGTACAGCTCACTTTACGGTGGCTTTACCTCTGTTTTAAGAATGATCAAGTGTCTGCTGCCTTCCATTGTAATGACTCACTCCAGATTCCCGGGAATCAGTAATCCAGTAATATTTTGATTTAAAAATACCAACACGTTGTAACATCAAGCTGTTTCTTAAAATGAAAGCAAAGTCCTGGACTCAACCAAATTCCATCAATTGATTGAGCTCTGTGTAAAGAAATACCTCCTGGTGTCTATCCTAAGCCTGCTCTTGAAAACCTTGAACCTGTAACCTTTTGACTTGCTGTCTTGATATATCTGAAAGTACAATTTCAGATTTATCTCCTCCGTTCTGTGTAGTGTCTGTCATATGTGCTTCTCGCCATGACCTGAGGAGCGGGTAGAAGAGGATCTTTATTTATCATTAGATTACTGATTCCTAGCAACCTGGAGTAAATAGGATAATGATCTGAGTCTCTGACAATCTCCAGAGGCTGTGAATTCTCTGGTAGTCAAGAGGACAATTTCCTTGTTGGTACAGCAAGAATCAGAAATGTGGCTTTTTCTCCCCCCACCCACCCCCTCTCTCCACTCCCCCACCCCTTCTCCCCACCCCCTCCGAATCGGCATCCAGCCTCCCAATTTCTCACACCTTCCAAACACTCCCTGTGGCCTACATAGCATTAAAATAATTATCCTACATCCTTTTTTTGCTTTGCAGAGTCTTTCCCAAGTCATGTCCTGAGCTGGACTCTAACCACAGCGTTTGAAGATAAAACCACAAGCGACGTGACCGCAGACTGGCTCCGATGGTTTGTGAGTGGTCGTGAAGTGGTCGTAACCCTATTCTGGCAGCCAGGCAAGCGAGGCTGCTCGTTGAAATTCCTACGTTTTATTCTCCTTGAGGTTTTTTTCCTTTTTTTTACGAGGTTCAAGTTTAGTCGTTATTAATAATTTAATGCAATACTTCTTCGGGGACTTGAATCATTCAAGAGTATCTGTTGTAACTCGCTGGCAGTTTTGTGACCAGAGGAAATCTTGCCGCAGATTTTGGGTTGAAAACTGTGCGATTCCCACCCGCAAAGACACAACTCCTCAGGGAGCAATGTAGCCATGGAAACAACGCTGGATTTCCACAGTACCTGTGCTCACTCCTGAGGTGATCATTCGAACTGCCACTGATACTGTGAAAGGGAATTTTATATCATGGCTTTCAATATTCCAACTGCACAATTACTGCAATAATTGAATAATAATAATAATTTAATAATAATACAATTACAATAATAATCCTTGCATTTGATACAGTACCTCATCGCATCATCGAGATGTCTCAAAGTGCTTCACGGGATATACCGTAAATACAAAATATATAAGAATATAGCCTTTTCCATTGTGAATGCTCCGTCTGTCTCTAAGTACCGCATTTATACAGATTAGCAGCTGCAAATAAAAAGTCAAACAATTGCTTGGAATTTATACAGGAGGAATCCTGAAATAAAGGTGCAAAAACAACACACAAGTTACCCCCTCCTCCCCCCCTCCGCTGTCTGTTCATTTTCGTAAATGCAGACGAGCACACATTAGAAAAAGACACTACCTGTTAATGGAGCCCAGTGTGAGAGCTGCAGAATCAATCTGTGTTCGACTGCAAGTCTGCAGTCTTCATTTGGCACCTATTGGTTTGGCACATCTTTGACGATGTACTTTCGAGTGGAAGAAAAGTTACACATTTCCACTGTGTGTGTTTAAAACAAAAATCCTTTTGTCGGATCAGCCAGTGGCTGCACACCACTCTCACTTTGAAATTTGGATCATATCAGACTGGGCTAAAAGCACTGAGAGACTTTGAAACCGAACAGTTTCCCTCGGTATAACTGCTTGCTCCGTGACCTTCTACCACTGCAATATCAACGGTCTTCATTCTGTTACAGTTTACCCAACCTGTCCTCGCAAACGGGATTGCAGCTCTTTCACAAGAGGTCCTTGAGAGACAAGTGAGAGCCACACACACACACACACGACTGTCTGTGGGGACGCTGCTGTGCGCAATCGACTGCCGTGTTTCACCCACAAAATATACAGTCAATTCACTTTACAGCATATTCTGTGAAGTGCTTTGAGACGTCTCGAAGACGCGATAAGGTTGTATTCTTTCAGTACAGCACTGAAGCATCAGGTGCTGAGAGCTGGGAGTACATCTCACAGCCAGAGTTTATTTACAAAGTGGACAGCTTGAGACCAAACTCTTCCACAGCTTCACTCCCATTGCTTTTTCTGTCAACCCTTTGGAAAGTCTCCTCTGCCCGGTGTTTGCAAACTAACAGTAACATTAGGGAGAGGCGGTAAGCGGCTGAAAAGTATTTGCAATTCAGAGCTAAATTATTACTACCGTAATAATAACAATCTTGTATTTGATACAGCGCCTTATCACAGCTTCGAGACGTCTCAAAGTGCTTCACAGAATATACTGGAAAGTCGATTGACTGTGTATTTGGGGGCGAAACCAGGGCAGCCAATTGCGCAATTACTGTACAAGCTTAGGGACACTTATTCCTCCAGGCCCGAAGAGTGTGCGTTTCCACTTGATGTCACTGCAAGGAAATCCAGCCCTGTGTGTGGCATTGTTTATAGGAAACCGTCCAGTGCCTATCGCACTGTGCTCTTGACATTAAGCTACTGTGAATCAGTGGTTGGTGAGGGGGCCATTACTGACATCAATGAGCTCCACACAAAAACTGGAACTCGTTCCTGGAGGGCAAGTAATCAGAAGAGGAGGAGGAGGGAAGACAGTCAAAGCTCTCTATAACAGCTGAAATCAAAGGCTTCAAATTACAGGGAAGCTGAACTCCTGCAGATGGGGCTGTTATTATAAACGGGTTGAGGCAGCCACAGAATGGTTAGCAATGAATGAGAATCATTGGTAAAATGAACAACAACTTCATAAATTTGGCTGGCGCTGACTAACCGCCAGTGCAGCTGGTTCGATTCCCAGGCCGAGAGAAACATTAGGCAAGTTTCCTCACTCCACACGCCTGTTTACCTAACAGTAAGTGGGGACCCGGTTGTTATTCGATTGGCGGATTGCTGTCCAGGGGTAATAATTCCTTAAAAAAAGAAAAGACTAATTTGGTCACTCAATTCATGACTGTTTGCGGGGACGCTGCTGTGTGCAATTGGCTGCCGCGTTTCGCCCGCAAATATACAGTCAATTCACTTTACAACAGATTCTGTGAAGTGCTTTGAAACTCTCGAATACGTTATAAGGTGCTATAACAAATGCAAGGATTATTATTATTATATATTATTACAATTCCCTGGATTGAGAGTTTATGTAACATCTGCCACCACCCTCAACCAAATAAAACCAGCTTTGTGTTCAACCTTTTGCTTAGTGTTACCCAAAAGCAACAACAACAAAATTACATTTGTATAGTGCCTTTCAGGTCGGGAGGACTTCCCAAGGTGCTGGACAGACAGAGTTACGGACCCGAGCTGACGGTCGGAGTGGGGGAAGGGGAGTTCCAGAGGGTGGGTGCAGAGTGGCAGAAGGCCGGCCTGCAGATAGTGGGGCGGGGGACGTGAAGCATGCCGGATCGCTGAGCAGAGGGAGCGAACAGGGTAGGAGGTTATTGGGTCAGAGAGGTAAGGGGGACCAAGACCATGGAGGGCTTTGAAGGTGAGGACCAAGATCTTGAACTGTGTGATGGGAAGCCAGTGGAGTCGGGCGAGGATGGGGGTGATAGGGTCGCGGAGACCAGTGCGGGAGAGGACACGGGCTGCAGAGCTCTGGATAATCTGCAGTCTGTGGAGGGAGGAGTTGGGGAGGCCGTCAAGCAGTGAGTTTGCATAGTCGAGCCACGATGTAATGAAGGGTTTAGGCGGCCTGCGATGTGAGAGGTGAGAAAAGGGAAGCAGGTCATGGAGCAGATGTGTTTCTGTGTGCAAAGCTGTCACACTTTTTCTTGAATAATTATTTCTTATTAAATCAGATGATGGGGGAGAGTTAGCGAGCAGATCTGCCCCCGATGGTAACAAAGACCACTTGGCTGTATTGTTGAGCCCGCAGAACCTTTACTGATCGGCTTCAATCTGAGTCCCATCTGTTCACTGGCGTTGCCAGCCATCTGCTCAAGTGGTATTGTGGTCACATTGCTCTTTGTGTGAAAGCTTATGAATTATGATAATGTGAAGCGCCATATTCGTGAAAGTAAATGAGTACCAGACACGGTGGGGGAATTCATAATTAGCTCGAGAGATTGCCTCATTAAAGCAACATATGTACAGCAACCAACATGAAGAATGTTCAAAGCAGTAAAAGTCTGTTATTTAGGTGATAAGTGGCATTCAAATAAACACGTAATGAGCAGTGTGGGTGCATGATTGTAGGTATTTGATGGGGCTCAAAATAAGTGTTGGATTAATTGATTGAAGACTAAGACTCACAAGGCAAATTTACAGAGACAAACATCCATACAGATAATTAAATGCATACTTAGAGACATCCACACAGATGCACACACAGATAAACAGTAACATCTTGCATTTATATAGCATCCTTCACGTTGTGTGACAACAACAAATTACACTTGTCCTTCACATCGGAAAGGCGTCCCGGGGCGCTGGACAATCAGGGGTTTCTGAACCCGAGCTGGGAGTTGGGGTCAGGAGAGGTGGAGGGCGGTGGGAGC